GCCCACATCAAATTTGTCTTCACAGTTCAGGAAACTGTTGTTCCATCCCCTCCACTCTGCCTTCCCAGCACTTTTGAGTATTTTCTGGTGAAAATGACATAATACTGTAATCAGTTTTATTTGATGGTATGACTTCTTTAGACAGAAAATGGGGAGCTGTCTGACAGAACTCAGGACAATTGTGCACATGTTGCTGGCATTTACCAAGGGTTGCTGAATGCAGCCCTATCCTTTTTCTCTTCTTTATGTTGTGATCTTGGGTTTGTTACTCTTCCCCTTTATTGTCTTCTGTGCTGCTCTCACAGAGCCTTTGAGCAAACATGAGGAATGTGAGTGAGCAGACTAGGCAAAGAATATATCAGAAGTTAGAAGGGTACAAAGACGCTGCTTGGAGAGAAAACTTCAGATTCTATTGTTCTCATTCTATGTTAATTTGCACCCAACCAAGGTCCAGACCCATCACAGAGTGCAAAACGGGGTTTAAGAGTAATTTCAAAAGTGTTCCATGGCCCTGACCTTGTCTAAAGTCACATTCTCCTGTGTTCTGGTTATGTCTTCCTGGCTACAGCATGGAGACTTGGTAGCAATCACAGAATCCAGGAAAAAAGGCCCCATTTGCAGGAGCTGGGCAATAAAACGCCCTGTTCCCACCAACTCGACACATGTTTCTGGCTGGAACATCAGCCCATTTTTGCCAGCTAATGTCTGTTTCTCCAATAGTGATAACTGTCATTCACCGCTTCAGCTGTGTCTGTTGGACACTCAAAAATAGCTCAAGTTTTTGACTGCTGTTGTGAAAAACTTGAGCTATGTACATCAGCCCTCAGAGAATAAAGTTTTTGTGTTTCTGCAGATTCAACCTTCAGGTTCAAGCCACGGGCGCACTCCTAAGTCAGAGTGCCAGGAGGGCTGCCTTCCAGAACCTCTTCCCCTGCTCAGAGCCTCCGAGACAAAGTCCTTTTCATTATCTCTGGCCTTGATCAGTTTCTCTAAACTCTCTTTCCAGCTTCTGACCTTGATTATTCTCTTTTCTCTTTTCAATTTATAGTCTCCTTTTCCTTACACTTTCCTAGCCATGCCACCCCCAGGGCTCAATTATTTCTACTTTCTTTGTTTTCTGTCAACAATTTTTAGAATATACAACCTGGGCATTAAAAAAATCAATATTTACTTAAGTGCACACAAAACAGTTCTTATTTATAGTAGGATGAGATACAAAAGCAGTTAAATATGATGATTTAATAGAGATTAATCACATGATGTACTGGAATTCAGAGAGCTGGGTCATCATTTTAACTATGTCACTTCTAATTATGTGGCCTTGGGCAACTCAATTTCACAGAGCCTCTAACTCCTTATTTGTAATATGATCTGTAATGCATATCCTGATTAAATGTTTCATAATGTTAAAGATCTATACTGAAAAGTTAATTTGATCAAGCCAACCATATGTCCTTCAGTTAAAACAAAATTTATGCTGAATCAAGGGAAACACTTTTTTTTTGACTAAGGCACTTATTTTATTACTCAACCTAGGCACTTACATATGAGCAAAACTTGTGCCTACCTCTGGACTTATGTGTATAGGTTAACTATTACTATGATAATGCTGTGTAACAATCTCATAATTTCAGTGGCACATAACAATATTTAACTTATATCCCTCCGAAGTAGGTTGGAGGTTGGTTGATCTAACTTGAGCACGGCTTGGGTGGTTCTGCTCTTCTCCACGAGTCTCTCATCTTCTTGGAGCTAGCGGGCTAATCTGAAAATGTTCTCATGGTAATGGCATAGAAAAAGAGAGTAAGTTCAATCATATGAGCACCATCCAAGCCTTGGGTAGATCATATCCTTGATATTCCATTGTCCAAAGCAAATTGCATGGCCAACCCCAAAGTCAACAGATGCTCATGATGTGTGTGGATAAGGAAGTGAATAGTTCTGAACAACAATCTAACACACTGTGCTTTGGAAATGAGTGATGAAAATGCTTATTATGTATGGCTTTTTCTCAGGGAAAATAAAGGCAGTGATGAAGATATGCAGAAACCTTGGGGATTAGTTGCTACTTTTCCTCCTGTGGGACCTAACTGAATTCACTTCTAGGGAGAGGAGTTGCTGGTTTTGAGACAGCCTTTATGAACTTGCTTGCATACAATTTTAAGTTGCAGGTAAAACTGTCATTATACTCAAATGAAAGAGGTGAAGATCATGGCACTGCCTCAAAAGCATCCCGAGCTCTTCTGATTGGCAGATTTGTGAAAAATTCCTGTGAACCACTGATCAAGTATTCCTCCACAGGTTAGCTCCTGCTCACTCTAATCAAGTTGAAGATAATTTTGAAAATGCTAATCAGGACTTATTTATAAAAGCAAAGGATGGTGGTTCCAAAAGGAGCTAGTGCAAAAACACTGAGACATCTGCTATCTGATAGATTGAAAAATTACATGACTTATGTTGTATTTATGTATGTAAAACTGTCTATCTCTTTATGGAAAGAATCTAAACATCCTTCAACTCTGCCATTTTTTTACCCCAATGCCTCCACTTGTTTTCATGTCTTCTGATGAAACAGTAAAATAAAACCACAATGATGACACAATACTGATGATTATGTTGTATTAAGCAAAAATAACTACACATGAAACAATAGTTATATATTATATTATGAAGTTAGTCTATTTGTTTCTTGAGAACTAATGAGAAATTGAGGGTAGTTAAGGCAGGCAAACATTAGTTTATTTTTCCACTTATTGGGCTGTATAAGTTATCTATTACTGTGTAATATATTATCCCAAACTTAATGGTGTTAATCAGAAGTATGTATTATCTCACATAGTGTGTGTGGGTCAGGAATTCAGAGGAGGCTTAGCTGGATGGTTCTGGATTTCATGAGGTCCCAGTCAAAAGATCAATTGAGGTCTTAGTTATCTGAAGATTTGAGTGGGGGCTGGAGGAGCTGCTTCCAAGATGGTTCAATCACATGGCTGGCTAGTTGTTAAGAAGAAGCCTCAGCTCCTTGACAGGTGGACACATCAATAAGGCTGCCAGAATGTCCTCACAGCATGGCAACTGGCTTCTTCCAAAACAAGTGCTCAAAGATAGATCAAGGCAGAAGCTACAATATAATTTATGACCTAGCCTTGGAAGTCACACTCTGGTCATTTCTATATCATTTTATTGGTTATACCATTGTTTCTCACTCACAAGACTGTGTAAGTGCATGCCCTGAGTGTGAATATGTCCTTAAATTTTACACCCTTGCTGCCTTGTTTATCTTAATCTAGTCCTGACCAGCTGTACACATTTGCTGTACTTAGTGTTAGAGTGGACAATATAAAAGGCAAGAATCATGGGAACAACTTGGAGGCTGGCCACCACAAGAGTTAAGCACTTAACCAAGATTCTGATCAATGAGAAAGGACTTCCACTGGCTCATCAATTCTCACCTTTGATTGAACACTTGAATCATCTGGGAGTGATGATTTAACTGATCAGGAGAGACAGCCATGATATCAAAAAGGTCTCCAAATTATTCACATGTGCAGTCAGGAATAAGTACTTGAAAATGAAGTAAAGGTTCCTTTTGAGACTGAATTCCACACAGAATTTACTATTGTATCTATCAGCAACCTCTGTTCTCCCCTCATGGAGCAGAGTGTGGAGCAAGGTTTAGATACAGTGGTTCTCAACCTGTGGGTCGCGACCCCTTTGGCAGTCAAACGACCCTTTCACAGGGGTCGCCTAAGACCATCCTGCATATCAGATATTTACATTACGATTCATAACAATAGCAACATTACAGTTATGAAGTAGCAACGAAAATAATTTTATGGTTGGGTCACAAGATGAGGAACTGTATTTAAAGGGCCAGAAGGTTGAGAACCACTGGTTTAGAAGGACAAGGGACATCAGTAATTTATTCACTCACAAACTGTTGCTGAAAACAGAGTAGGTCAGGATGACTAGGTTTCTTTCCCCACCACCTGTATGTTCTGTTTGAACTGTTTTATAAAAGATTGGTAGGCACAGGGTTAACTCATCAATACTGGTATGATTTGAGATTCTTTATTTGTTTCAAGACATATCAAAACAGGCACATTGGATGAACAGAGAGGTCCCCAGATGAAAAAGAGAATAATGGGAATTAAATGAGTTAGATTAGGGTTAGGCTGTCTGTTTACTTATATACCAGTTTGCCAGTGGTTTCTCTCTCTCTCTCTCTCTCTCTCTCTCTCTCTCTCTCTCTCACACACACACACACACACACACACACACACACACGTAAAGCCAAGAATGAGATCACGCTTAGCTAATATAATTTTAGAAGCCAGTTCAGGTTTGTATCTACTAGGCTACATGGTTGTTGAGTAGTTATCTCTTTGAAACTTCCCTATGCCATGGGGCAGGAGCCTGGGCTGAATGTACTGGGAAGAAAGGTGAAAGAGGATTGGAATGGGGTTCTTATGCAGGATATCCTGTTTTTCTCCATTGAAAATAAATAACAGAATTTCAATATGAAGACTTCTGCTAGAACTTTCACATTTTCTTCTTGTAATTTTCCTAGGAAATGCAAAAAACCTCAGAGTTTATCATGATTTTGGCAAATAGTTTAGAATGTTGGCAGATGCCCAAAGAAAAAAAGCTCTGTTACAGACATATGCTCGAAACCATTGTTGTCACCTCAGTCAGATAATTACAATGAAAAATAAAACACTGCAAGCATTTTTTATGGCAGCAGCCTAATTTGCACTTCTTACATAAGCAAGGACATTCCTGCAGATTGCACTGGGTGTCAGCATAACATATCCTCTCACTCTTCTGTAAAGGCATACTCAGATGAAAGGGGACAAGTTGCTGGGAAAACAGGTCATTCTCTTCAGACATCCATTTCAGCCACAGAAGAGGCTTGGCCAGAGGGCGAATACTTAATAAACAAAATATCTACCTGCTCAATAGGATTCTAGCAGAGTTTCATTGTATGGCAAAGTCTCAAAGGGTTAGAGTGCTTCCATCTCGTGACACGGTAGATCACTTCCAATGGACTCCTGAATGCAAGTGTACTTGATGGGAGGTGGAGGCGGCTTGAAAGGTGGGGGTCTTTCCATGCTAGGAACAAAACATTGCTCTTTTAATGCTAAGAATGTGAGGGGGTGGTTGAAGTAGGAAACAGAGAAAGACATACCCCACTAGCTCTCTCAGAATTTTCTTGTCATAACTTTCTGCTTATTAGTTTTATCATGATAATATCATTAATTAATATTTATATGGTAATTTCATAGTTTGCAAAGTGTTTTTGTTATAACCTTGTATCTCGAAATTGAATATTACTGTCACCATTCCATATATAAAAATTAGGCACAAAGGTTTTAATCATCTTGTTCAAAAGAACCAGACCAGCAATTCAAGTCTTTTAACCAAAACCCATACTCTCCATGGCAACTGCTTCCTAATAGAAGTGCTTCTCTTATGTGGGTTAAAAACATTCCTCCAGAGATAAAATTTTAAAATTCTGTGTGCTGTGGGGATCCAGTTTAGGTGGGAAGTAAAGCTCTTCTGAATCCCTGAGTTGGTTGGTACTGGATAGATAATGCCAGAATCCCTTCTCTTTAAATAAGTGAACATTCTGAATGTCATCTTTGTATAAAGTGCTATTCTCTGTTAGCACAACTCATCTCTTGTCTGAAATGCATCAAGCATACAAGTGAGTGTGAGATTTAGCTATACAAATGCCCCAGCACTATTGATAATAGAAAACAGAAATATATCTGTGAGCAGATTTATGTCCACGACCCAAATACCTGCAGCCCTTGTCTGTCAATTCATAGTACCTTAATTTTTCTCTCTCTCTCTCTCTCTCTCTCTCTCTCTCTCTCTCTCTCATCCATCAAAACATTGTTTCTCATTTCTATATAGTACAGACATTTGACTACAGCACAACAAAAAAAATCATTTCAGATTTTCAGAGTCCCATAACTTTCTCATTCTATTATATAAATTCCTAATGTCTATTACCTGGTTTTCTGATGCTTTAATGGACACAGTATTTATCAAAAGGTAGATAAAGTATTAAGAAATTTGCACTTCTGTTTTTTTCAGGTAAATTCTGAATTTCTCAAGATCATATGGTGACCAAAGTGTAGTATTTAGATAAGAATCCATAAATTCTGACTACTGGTTTAGTGTTTTATTCGCCATGAAACACTTCCTGCACATGGTGATAGAGTCTTCAAGGATACTCTCAGAAAAGTAGAAGAAGGTATTGCATGATGGTCAATGTTATCTTAGATAGTAGTCGGAAGAATGTGGGAGATCAGCCCTATGTATTATGAGGGTCTCCTCTAATTGTGGCCTAATCTGGACTGATTCAAAATAGCCCTGTCAGAAAAGCAGAGTGTAACCTTATGTGTCATTTCAGATTGTGGATTGGAAAGAGAAGAGTTCCGGAAAATATTTCAATAAGACAAAAAAATGGGGGGTAACCAACTGCTTACTTTCTTTTCCTCTTGGGGAAAAAGGTAAAGGGCAGTAAAAGCTCATTCTGCTGAAAAGCAGCTGGAAATTTCTTAAAATTACCTTTCTCACTCAATTTCACACTTGAGCATCTCGGCATGGCTAGGCTCAGGCAGGTCAGAGATGCATGAAAATGAAAAAATAATAAAGATTAAAAGAAAAATCATTTTCAATTTTGAGGTAAGGTGAGGTGCGGTTTTTATTTAATGCCCACTGACTGTTCCACCTGCTGAGTGTAGTGTTACAGCCTGATCAAGGCAGAAGGGCTACCAAATCAGAAGTTGTGTATCTAAGCCCAACTGTGTGGTGCTGGGAAAGCTATATTACCTCTCTGAGCCTTATTTCCTCTGTTAAATATGAGAGGGGCTCAATATAGGAATGATATCTATAGTGCTGAGTGAATGATGCATATTGAAAAAGTATCTGTTCCTGCATATCTTGGCATTATACTCACATTTCTTGTTGGTATTGACACCATTTTCTCACTCCAAGACCAAATGATACCAGGCATAAAAAGAGCAAAGCTGCTACCAATACTGGCCAGGATGTTCCATCTTTGGGCTTCTTAGCCACAATAACTGAAAAGGGCATCAAGAGAGAGGAATTTTAAAGCCAAACTTTTGGCCATTGGAAACCAGAATTAATTGAACTACTTCTCCCACCTGACAGACATTTTATTTAAGGGCCAAAGGGTGTTCCTTGACCACAGTCACCCTGTGGAATCATGTCTATGCCTTGTTCTACTTTCTGGTTTGGCATTTATTCAATTGCATTTTTACATGAATGTCTTTCTTGGTCAAGTATTCCACAACTCATCTTTTCCCTCATTTTCCCAAGGCCCTGGACAATTCCTGACACGTGGTACCCGATGAAATGTTATTTGCATGAATGAATAAATTAAAATAATCTGTAAATTAACTTTATCTGTGAAACAATGGTCTACCTTTGGATTTTCTTGTTCTTGAAGGAGTCACTAAATGCTTTATGGAAGCACATGTGATAGGACGAGGAAAAAAGAATAAAAAGCAGTGTGACCTTCCAAAGTCCTGAAGAGCTAAAGCCGAGAAGCCCTGGACAATACCTATGGAGTTGTAGTGCTGAAAAACCACGTTCCAAGAGTTCTCATTTGAATGTCACTCAAGGAATCATAACCAGGCTAGAGATTTTCTTATCCTTTTCTATCACTTCCCCTCCTTTTTTTACTCTCCATATCCATTTCAGGAATAGAAAGGGAAGAAGGGACAAAACGGATAAAACTAAAACGAGTTGGTTTTTACATTTCTGTGGTCTGAAAAGGGAAGAAGTTGAAAGTAACAGACTGGCTAAAATTATATTGGTGAGTAATCAATGGACTGATTTTTCTTATCCTTGCTGACCATCCCCATACTCAACTCACTCATTAACATTTGAATATTAAGTTAAACTGCAGGAATCAAAGACTTTAAAATATTATGGATTCTAGACTAGCAGCAAAATAAATATCCTACTCTGGATGGTTTTACTTTTTAGTAAATGAGGTTGCCTGGTTCTACCTGACAGTTAATAGAAATATTTTCTTTTCAAAAAGTATTTTATGATCATGTTAACAATTCAAACAGCACAAAACTATAAAACTGCAATGAAAAGGAAGTGCCCTTACTACTTTAGGTACCAGTTACCCACACTAGAGGCAATAACTTTCAATAGTTAATTACATATCCTACCAGAAACTTTCTATGCATACATAAACACATATATGTATCATAAATATACATCCCCTTTACTACAAATGCAGCCATACTATACATATTGTTCTGCCTGTCCCCTGGCTTTTTTCCTCTTAAAAATGTTCTTGGAATACTTTCCAATGAAGTGTATAGAGATTTACTTCATTCGATTAAACTCCTGGCTGGTTCCCCAAATGTAGGCATCTACCATAGTTTATTTAATTGGTCTCTTAATGTCAGGTGGTTGAATTGTGTCCAGGATTTTATTATCTCTAACAACACTCCAGTGGAATCCTTATACATTACAGATAGATCTTTAGCTCTTTAGGTTACATAGATCATTTGGGCAAAAAGTGCATTTTTATATTAGAATTATCTGGATTGATTTTCTTTTATCATTTCAACTAGACTATACACTGCTCATAGGTGGAGACTAGGTTTTTATTTTCTCTTATTGCTTAGATTTATTATACTGCTTTCCATACAGCAAGTCTCAAAAATAAAGATACAGTCTAAAAAACTGGATTTAAAATATTAGGTACCAAGTCTTTTCTATGTCTTACATAGTTTGGACTGCAGCCACATCATGTCAAGTTAACAGTGTGTTGGTTATCAGTGTGGAAGACTTTTTCTCTCACAACACACATCCAGGATTCGACGTCTTCCTGAGGGTCACCCTACCACAGCCCTGTCAAAACAGATACTGCGGGTACCCTGGAAGCTCATGTAGTCCTGCCACACATAACCATGTGGTACTGTGTATGCATCGGTGGCTAAAAAGAGTTCAGAAATTCAAACCACTGGAGTATTGTGATCACCAAAGGAACAGCTCAGGACTACACAAAGTTCTGTTTTAGTGAAATCAAAATTGATTAGGCTCTACACTAGTAATATGGTAGTAAATAATATTTATCCCCAAAGTTTTAGAGAAATAAAAGAACAAAAGGTTTTTTAAGTGGGTGTTAAATTAATGTTTACAAATTTTCTTCAAACCAAATATAGAAAATGAGACCATTGACTTCAGGGATGTTTCAGTGCAGAAGCAGAGCTCCAATCTGGCCCCATTTCCAAAGTAGGCAGTTCTTAAAGTCACCAATATCTTAAAGATATTGGTAGGAACAGTTTGCAACTCTGTTGCCATGTTGTGTGAGGATGATGCTCTAATGATCTGAGGATTGCATGACCTTCCATAGGAAATAAAATGATTACTCAGGCGAAGTGCTCACCAATCAAGTGAATAACCCCTGAAGTGAAAGAATTGATTAGACCTCTGAATTTAGGATTAAGACCTGCATTGGGAGGGTCCTAACTTTATTGAATCCCTTGCCCTCTTATGATATAAAATAATGGATTACATTTAGCATTGACGTATTTTATTGAATATAGGAATTCTCTTTGTTCCAAGAATCTCTTTCTTGATTCAGACTATATTTTCACAAGACTGAAATGTTACTCAATACCTCCTGGCTACTTCTTATTCATTTTTCAGATTTTAATTTAAATATATTTTCAGTGAGTATTTTCCTCTTCTCCAATTAAAATCAGATATTTCTGTTAGATGCTGACAATACCTTGTACTATATCATAGCATGTCACAAATAAATTTAATTATATGGTTACTTTCTCACTATATAACATCTCTATCAGATTATTATCTTCAGGAGGTCAGTGTTTTCACTTTATGTCCAACAATTGGCACAGTGTTTGGCAAATGGTAGATACTCAATAAATATTTCTTGAGTCAATAAAACATAACATCCAAAAAATAAATGGCATATGGCTCACCAGTGATATGGATGTCATTATTTTTAGTAGATCTATTGGCAGTTGTGGGAACTTCTGGAAATTCTTTGGTTGTGCTGATGAAGTCATCACCTAGGGATAGAAAGGGGATTATCTGAACTGATCCTAATAGCCATCTCAATCTGATCAAATGGTGTAAAATCATGATTGGATTTCACTTGCTGTTAGAAAGAGCTCAATTTACATGGCTTAAATACTCCTAAAATTTTATGTGTAAAGTTTACTAAGGTCCAATTTACAGCAAGGCTAGGATCCTAGGATCTGTCTAATATGGCTACCAAATAGTGAAACTTCCTATTGGCTTAAAGAAATAAAAAAGTTGGGGGCAGGGGGAGAGAAGCTGTATAGCACACACAACAAACCAATATCTGCTAAAGAATCTCCATGAGAAATTTAAGTAATTATAGGAAAAAATCTTAAGTTGGGATGATGGAAAGATGAGGTCTAGTCCTATTCTCTCACAATATCAGAGGTCTAGCCCAGTGGTCGGCAAACTCATTAGTCAACAGAGCCAAATATCAACAGTACAATGATTGAAATTTCTTTTGAGAGAGAAATTTTTTTAAACTTAAACTATATAGGTAGGTACATTGTTATTAACTTAGTTAGGGTACTCCCAAGGCTTAGGAAGAGCCACACTCAAGGGGCCAAAGAGCCGCATGTGGCTCGCGAGCCGCAGTTTGCCGACCATGGGTCTAGCCAATCAAAATACTGATTCTCCCCACTCTAATGTATTTGGAAAGGTTAATAAAAATTCCTTAGCAACATTCAAGTAGACAAATCTATATTGACAAATCATTCAATTTTCCAATGGAAAAATAAAACAAAATGCATTTTTAATGAATTTGATTGGTTAAAAAAAGCCATTATATAGATTTAATTTTGAAATAAGAGACAGAAAAATCTAATACTTGGTCTCTGATTATCTTCTTTCAGTGACTGGGCAGAATTTTGTTTCCATTCATTATCGTTATCAAGATGCACTTTTAAATATCTATCTGAGATTGGATTCTTACCAATCCTTGTTTTTTAATCTCTGTCAAGATAAAGCAGACCACTACCTCTCCTGACCCTGAATTTTCCCCACTACTTACCATGAAGTGTGGAGCCCGCACCTGAGGGGAATGGACTGTATGTTTCACTGGGCATCCATGAAGCTGCTAATGGAAGAACATAATGGAAGAGTCAATCTGTAAAAGACTAGTTATTTTCTCTTCTTAATTTTAATTGAATCTAATGGTTATAAAAGAGGGATATTAAAATATATTTAAAGCAACATCATTGAACTATTCTTCAGCACACATTAGAAAGTCCCAAATAAAGTGGGAGTTGAGGTAATGCTTGTGGAAGGTTTTTATTATAGACAAATAGGAGAAGGAAGAAGAAATGAAAGGAAAATACCAGGAGAGGTTCTTTCAGCCACAGACAGGGTGTTGTGACTATTCTCATGGCCATCCATAGATGAGCTAAAAGAATCAGAGAGAATGAAAGCCCAGGTATGTTATGGTGGCCTTCAGTCAAGGAGAGGTGCCAATAGGACTTTGAAGAACTTGGTAGAACACATGAGGGAACAAAATAGTTTGTATTTGTGGGTAAGCTGACATTTTTATTCAACTGTGAAAATTGAACTGTATCAACAGTGAATTATCAGAACCCTATTGTTACAAGCCTGTTAGCTGCTGGGTGTATACTTTTGATGTATTCGGTGGCAAACCTTCCCCTTGAGTGGATGGCAGCAAACTCAGCACATATGGCTTTTGAAATAGAGCCATTAACTCATTTTGTTTAGTTCCCCATATCTGGCAAGAAAAATCCACTTCTTGGCAAACTCCCCATAACTGTATTTGATAGCAGGCCAATAATGTGATGTAAAGTAAAATAACTATAGTGGTGCCTGAGTAGTATGCTCATTTATTTAAAACATTAGCATACAGGATTTTACAAGTTAAGTGTTTTTAGTGTGTCCAAACCAAAACAATCAAAACCAAAATAAAATAAAACAAACATAAAAAAAACAAAAACCAGCCTCAGCCTTCCCCTTTCTTGGTTTTTCCCTGAATGCCAAGGGCATTTACAGCTGCAGACAAAGGTATGTTATTAGGTCCTTCAGAAGAGGCATTGGTCCCTGGACAATCTGTCATGACAACTTCCATGGGGAGTCACCTCACAGGAAAGGGTAGTTTTGTACACAGCTATTTTGAGTTTAACTAGGCCAGAGAGATGTTCTTATCTTCAATATAATTCTCTGACCCTGTACCTGTGATCTTAACTCTTTTTTCCCCCCTAGACGACCAAGGTATTCAGATGATGATGTATTGAGTACTTTTTAAATGTCCATTTTTAATGGTTAAGTCATTAAGCCAGGAATTTGACAAAGAGCAACAATTATAAATTGGGATGAGGCCTAGATTTAGGTACAATTATGATGAAGGCAGTTTGTTCAGTTTTTTGTTGTTTTTCCCCCCCAATATTGTGTCCCTCTTAGTTACTATTTTTAGGGCTTAATGTCTTTATATATTATCTCTTCAAATTCAGTTTTTAAGAAAGTATGTGATAAATTAATTTATGCTAAGGTTATAAATGGTTAACCAAGTTCTATCCCTCTGAGAAAAACAGGTATTTTTGTAAAGATTTTTCCATTTCATGATTATTATCAGCAGGTCAACAGAGAACAGTTTGTAATGATTAGTTACATGTGGATACCAAGGTGTTTTTTTAAGCATAACACAATTTCAGAAGATGGTGATATCATTAGTATGATCCATCCAAATGACAATACTTAAAATCATGCAAATTATTTTACCATTTCATAAAGCTTCTTTTTAGACTTCTAGGTATTTTTCAAGTGTAAAAAGACATCTCAAAAATGTGTGATAGAATTAAACTACAAAAACTATTTTGAAAGAGTAAGGAGTTCTCTAATTTTGGCTTTAAGATTTTATTTTAACTTTGTTTAAAAAATACAATGGGGAGTGTATTGAGAAAAGTGAAGAAAAAGGAGCTTCCAGTTGATGGATTCAGCATGTCTGAAAATACTTAAGTAATGTAAAAAAAAAAAAAAAAACAACAAAAAACTTCAAGAGCCCTAGCTGGTTTGGCTCAGTGGATAGAACATTGGCCTGGGAACTGAGATGTTCCAGGTTCTATTCCAGTCAAGGGCACATGTCCAGGTTGCAGGCTCAATCCCCAGTGTGGGGCATGCAGGAAGCAGCCAATCAAGGATTCTCTCTCTTCACTGATGTTTCTATCTCTCCCCCTCTCCCTTCTTCTCTGAAATTAATAAAAATATATTTTAAAAAAACCTTCAAGAGAAAGAATATATTATAAATAAAAGTCAGCAAGATGAAGAGATGAACAATATTTGCAATAAATGTGCCCACAGGAGGAGGCCTTCCTGAAGAATGCTTGTTTACAGCATCCTTAGTAAGATAGAATTGGTTATGTACAATGACTCATCTTTCACTAAATGCAATACTTTTCTAAAAGTTCCTACACTCTATCATTTAGCTATATGGTTTTTAGAATATGTTTTACATTGACTACTCCATCTGCCATTTTTAAGTCTCAAGAGTCTCAGCAGAATTGTGTTGCTATTGTCTTTTAATTGATTGAAATATTCTGTGTTCTTCAAGGCATGTTTGTTAAATACAGGAGTTAAATCTCTTTCAAACCTTAGAGCACCCATTTTCATCAAAATCCACAAATGAACATGACTTTGGCATTTAGACGATAAACACCAGCTTGATGGATAACCTCCTGTAGCACATCACCATTATCAGCTAAAACATGAACACGGATCTATACTGATGGAGTTTCTCAAATATATTTTCTATCCTTTTTTAAAAAAAACATAACCTTGGTTTCTTCCACAACTTCTTTAAATTTTACTTTTGGTAAAGGTTGTTCAACAAGGAAACTATGTGATACCATTCTACCATAAAAATGTACTTCTCTTCTATGGTAAAAACAGGATCAACTTCAATAGCGTAGTATTTTTCATTTACTTGCAATAACATTTTTGGACATATGCTTGTAACTAGTTCAGGCATCTTTTCCCTTTGTAGAGAAATATACTTAGTGTCATATCAAAGTCTGTGGTGACCTGAAGTTTGGCAGCTCATCTTTTGATGAAACCAGTGATAATTTCTGTTACTTTTGTAGAATTCTTGTGGCAAACTGAACTTTCAAATTCTGGAATCATTTTACATGTCTAGACATTTTTTTTGGTTATGCAGTCTTCCTTAAGGCATTCTGAGTTTTTCTGTCATTAATTTTGTCCTAAAACAATGGCATAAGTGGCAAACAATAACTCAAGATGCAGGGCTTATATACAGAGATCTCTATGACCTTGGTCTTTAGCCTCATCTATCTCTTCAGGTTGAGTATGTACTCGGCCAGCACTACCTCTTCCACTAGAACAGTGGTTGTCAACCTTCCTAATGCCACGACCCTTTAATACAGTTCCCCATGTTGTAGTGACCCCCAACCATAAAATTATTTTCGTTGCTACTTCATAACTGTAATTTTGCTACTGTTATGAATCATAATGTAAATATCTGACATGCAGGATGTATTTTCATTGTTACAAATTGAACATAATTAAAGCATAGTGATTAATCACAAAAACAATATGAAATTATATATTCAATATGTGTTTTCCGATGGTCTTAGGCGACCCCTGTGAAAGGGTTGTTCGACCCCTACAGGGGTCACGACCCAAAGGTTGAGAACTGCTGCACTAGAACATAAATGCTGGAACAAGTTACAGTGTGTACTCTTGCCATGATCACCTAGTCCAAAGATGGGACCCTCATACTCTTCCCGGCCACAAAAAGAAGATGACATGCATGAGCTTTCAAAGTGTGAGGTTTGTGTTTTTGCTGTGCAGAAGTCCCCAGAAACTGGTAGTTTAACAAAAAATATAATTTTAAATCAGAGAAATGAATCTGTAATTTGAGACTGACCTAATTAGAAACTATATGAAAGATAGGCAGAACAACATTTTAGAGGATAGGAAAATGGATTGAGATGTGATCAGAGACATCAAAAATTTTAAAATATGAGAACAAGAGAGGTGAATTAAGAGAATCAGCATCCAAGCCAACAGGGAACAGAGGGACTGAAAATTATCCTAGAGACTGAAATAGGAATTAGACCCAATGCTTCCATAGGCTCTCTCATTCCTATGTCCCTACCACTGGCCCTCAACCCCTCAACTCTAGTCTCTCCATCACCCTCTGTCAATGGAAAGTAGAAAGGGTTGTTAAGAAAATTTTAGGCACAGCTATCAAAAGCCTGAGAAGAACCAGATAGAACCATGGGAAGGATAAGCAATGCATCTTCAAGATTTAAGAAGAATATATAAAATTTGAAGGATAAGGAATGCATGCTTAAAGAACAAAATAAAGACCCCATGTGATGTCAGTAAGAGGTACTTTGAGGCCCAGAGGTGTGTGTGTGGGGGGGGGTATGTGTGTGTGGGTGTGTATGTGTGTGTAGTGAGCTTGTTGATTTTTGGTAATGGAGCAAGTTGGAAGCATAAGGGTCTATGGAGATTCATATCATTTTTCTGCTTGTCTAACTTTGAGAGACTGAATTAAATGTGGCTTTCATCTCCAGTGGACCAGATGAATGACAGGGAAAACCAAAAATAAAAAAGTAATTAAACAAATTTTCTGCTCCATGGTCTGATCACCTGAGTGTCAGGAAGAAAATATGTTCTCAGATGCTACTAACCTTATAAATTTTGGGCATTTAGTTGGTCAGATTTGGTATCCCCATTTCATAGGTGCTTACAGTAACATAAGCATCTCTGTTTCAGATTGAGGACACTTGGAAGCTGAACTAAGGTTAGACTTCAATATTCTTGAATCCCAGCTTAGACTTCTTCAACAAGATGACAACAAAATAATACATTAAACCATATATTTATAAATTTAGTGTAAGTGCAATGAAGTCAGAACCATGACACTCAAATAAATACGAGCTACATAAAATACATGTATATAAACAAATATTCCATAACCACATGTTCACAATTAGCAAGGGCCTTAAAAACACTGCTGTGGGATTATTTCACCAGAAAACCATCCATTATCATTCTTTTTCCTGCCTCTGAATATTGCATAAATCTATTGAAATAAACATACTGGAAGAAAACAAATCCCATTGCCAATGCCTGCCATGAGTCTTGCTAAGTGCATCATCTAATATTGGATGTCACATTATAGCACAATCCAATGAGTAGGAACATGTTTCAAAACTAGTTTGGGAGTAAGCAATCAATATGCACTTGTTGGATCCTAATGTGTTTTTGTCAATGATTATAAATAGAACAACTCACTGCAGGGAATTTTCTATGTTTATGGATAAAAAATGACAATTTGTTAACAAGGACTTCTTATTCTTGTACAAGTAAAAATATGTGTGTTTCACTGCCAGGAAAAAAATGTTTATTGGGTTTTAATGTTTCTTTCTAGGTTTCACAATTTCTAAACCTATTTTCATTATAAAAATGATAAAGAGATGTGTGAGGATAAATAAAGTTTTCAACTGGGGAAAGACAGAAAATGTGAGGGGTTACAATAGTTCATTTCGGTATGAAATCTATTAGAAAGACCAATAATAGACTTGTGCAAATTATAAAGTACTTTCAAGGCCTTTTCCATTTTCCAGTGTCTGAGACAGAAAGTACCTTGGGTGGCTTTCCTGCTTAATATTGATGTGATGCCTGGGGCAATTTTTTTTTAATTCCTGGCACACATAGTATTGTAGTATGGATTTAAATAAAGCAAATAAATAAAAAAGATTAAAAATTCCATTTAAGTAGGTCCTTTCTTTTCACTGTATTTATGTGTTTTTTCTTGTCCTTGCCCATGTGTACACATACTCTTTCAAACACTCAAGAAATATTTGCTGAGTACCCATGTATGCCTGCCACTCTACAAACATTAGGACACAATAGTGAAGAAGACAGAAAGAGGGTTAGGTGCCTGTTCTGTGTATCTTATATTCTAGTATAATTTAAATAGACAATCAAATAAATAAAATACAGAAAAACATCAGACAATAACTGTTATGCTGAGAATTAAAATATGGGATAATATACATTATATAATTATAGCATAAGTTTAAGTTTGAGTTCAGCTTTTTGTTGTATCATTGTCCAACAAACTCTTTTGCTCACTGCTACACAATTCCCCTCTCTCATATAATCAACAAGTATGCTTTAATTTATCTGTTCAACAATATTTATTGAGAACTAACTATATGGCAGGCATTATCTTAGGCACTGGGGACACAGGTAAACAAACAAAAAATCTCATGGAATTTACTTGCATTATAGTATTGAGAATAAGAGATGACAAATTAGTGAGGTAGAGTTTCAGCATAGTTTATTACTAACAACTCTTTTTTATTAACACCTATAGGATAAATGTTAATTTATTAAGTATAGGCTTTCATTCCCAGTCTAACTAATATTTATTCTCAGTTTATAACTGATTGGTAAATATTTCCAGCTCCTAGCCTTGTCTACATAATAAGACATACTGTTAGTACACTATGGCTATGGTTTCAATGGGCTTCATAATATTTCATTGACTTATTATCTTATCCTATTCCACATTCTCTTATTATTGGACAAATTCTTCCCAAATACCCCATCATTCTCATTCATACACACACATTTTTTATTTTTTTTAGATAAATGACATTATATATCTACCTCATCTCACCCCTGTTATGCCCATTCAAAAACAAACACTGTTCTGTATGTTGTGTCTATTATTCATTTACTTAGATAGTTTTAAAGTTTTTTTTATCATATAGCTAAACCATATGGTGTCTGGTTGTACTTGTTTTTAAATTTATTTAAAAATATTATTCCATATATTGTCACCTGGCATTTACTTTTTTGATTCAACACAATGTTATGAAGATTCATTCATGTTGTATGTGACTGTCATTTACTCATTTTTCATTACTCTATATTTTATTATATGACTATGCTACAATTTATTTATCTAGTCTCCTGGCTATGATCATTTAGATTATTCATAATTTTTGCTATTATGAATAGGGTACATATTTCCTGGATATATAAGCTAGTGTTTTGTTGTGTGTGTGTTGGAATATTTATCCAAGAAAACAATTGCTGGATTGCAGTGTATGAAAATACTCATTTTTAAAACATAATGCTAAAGTGATGGTAACAATTTATACTCTCACTAGCAATATATAAAAATGTACATTGCTCTCCAGTCCGTATAACATGCAGTAATTACAGACTTCTTAACTGTTGCTAATTGATTAGGTATAAAATGGTTATCTAATTATAGCCTTCATTTGCATTTCCTGATTAATAGAGAAGCTGAGAATCATTTTTTCTAGCCACTGTTTCATGATTTGTGATATACCTGTTTGCTCATTGTCTATTGCTTTGTGCTTTTTTTCTTATTGATTTGTAGGCATTCTTTATTACCCATGACATAACATTTTGATCCATTGTGAATTATATAGTCTTAGTCCTTTTTCAATTACATGTGTGACAAATATCTTCTCTCATATTATAGCTTTCTTTTCTTTTTTTACCTTCCTTAAGGTGTCTTTTGATAAAAGATTATTTTTCTTAATTTATTTGATTCTATTCTTTCTATTTTGTTTATGGTGAGTGCTTTTTCTCTCTTCTTTAAGCCCTTCCCTGCCTCAAAGCTTGGAGGAAATTCACCTTTATTTGATTATGTTTTAGTGCTTTGCTTTTGACATAAAGAACTTAAAGTATACGGAGTTTATTTTGTAGAAGTACATTTTAATGCCTTTTTTCCTTATAAATAATAAATGTTTCTAGGTCATTTGCTGAACAGTCTCTTTTCTTCCCAGTACTCTACTATGTTGCCTTTGACACACATCTAAGTTCCACTTATTTGTGGCTCTTTGTGTGCTCTCTCTTCTGATAATGCCTTTTCAGTCTTGTATTTATTTAGGCAGTGAGTTTACAAGTGTCTCTTGTAGTCGACCCTTGAACAACACTAGGGTTAGGGGCCCTGACCCCTTTGTAGCTAAAAATCCGCATATAATTTTAACTCCTCCAAGACAATTGCTAATAGCCTAATGTTGACCAGAAGCCTTACTGATAACATAGTTGATTAATACATATTGTGTGAAACTGTACTCTTAACATAAACTAAGCTAGAGAAAAGAACATGCTATTACATAGATCAAGAGGAAGAGAATACATTTACAGTACTATATATATTCATTGGGAAAAATTCCACATATAAGTAGATCTGTGCAGTTCTAACCCATGTGTTCAAGGGTCAACTTATATCATTAACATATTTATTAAAATAAATATGACACATTAAATTATAGAGGGTTATACACAGACTAATGTTGATAGTGTCTCATGAATTAAAAATTATGATTAATTCAAGTCTGTGAACCTGATGTCCATAAAAGAGATGAAAAAAAGCAATACATAACACCATACAAAGCAATATTATATGTTTCTCTTTTACTTATTTCCTAAGGACAAGTTCCAAGCAGGGAGATGACTGAGTCAGTGGGTAGAAAAGATTTTGAGAAGTTTTAAAGGTACAACTTAATGCATGCCCAAAGGAACATGGCCATTTACAGTTCATGGCAAAGAGCCTAGCAGGTAAAGTCATAGCTCTGCCCCTTTGGCATCCAAGGTTTCCCTTCTGCCACATCCCTTGCTATGCTGTCACATCAGTGATCTTTGTCAATTCCTGCTACACAGCAGCTGCAGACACTAGGTGGCCAGATTAAAAGTAAAAAATCATTTCTGTGCCTCACCTGGGCTCCCTCTTTTGTTTTTATTAGTGATAGTATGGATTCTGCTAGGATGCTTTTTCTATAGATATACTAAAAGCTTGCACTTCTACCTCCATTACTTATATCTTTACTCAGATGTCACCTTAAATTTAAGGTATTGAAAAGCTTTACTCTATTTAAAATAGGAACTCACTCTGACCCTTTATTCTCACTGTCTCCCTTTGCTGCTTTATATTTTCTATCTCACTCATCATCATTTGTCTGTCTTTCTTCAACTAGGATTTGGAACTTAGATCTGTCTATTCACAGATGTCGGCCCAGCTCCAACATTAATGCTTCAAATATAGTAGATGCCTTATAATTATTTGCTAATATTATGAACAAACCACATAGGAGTCATTCAATATGTGTGTTGGAAGAATGAATGGGGCCCAGAGGACTAAAAGGGACTCATGGTTATACTTACAGTTTTTGATGTCTTTCCCACTGGAGGTCCAGGAGTAGTTGAAGCCTTGGGTAGTCACACTGGAATTGCTTGCTGTAAGACAAAATTTCCAGAATCCAAGCTTTTTATAAAGATGTAATTTAACTTTGCTGTGATGTGCTGAATTTTTAATCTATGTGACTTTGGGGAAATCTGAAAATTGAAATATGCTTTCCTATGCAGTAACACTAGCTGGCATATTGAGGGAAAGTTCTGCAGCTTGTGTTTAATGCCAACTAGTCATAATTTACTTTCTTTTCCTGTTCTTGTAACCAACTCAGATGACTAGGAGTGCTGTCAAGACTACTTAAATATTATCTTAAAATCGCATGACAAATAAAAGGTATCTATAATAATAAAAGTGTAATATGCTAATTAGACCAGATAGCCGAATGATCTTCTGGATGTCATTCCAGACAACCTTCCTGATGAAGCCGTGGTGGTGGGGGCCAAGGCAGAGGCGGTTAGGGATGATCAGACAGGCAGGCGAGCAGTTAGGGGTGATCAGACAGGCAGGCAGAGGTGGTTAGGAGTGATCAGGCAGGCAGGCAGGCAGGCAGGTGAGTGGTTAGGGGTGATCAGGCAGGCAGGCAGAGTGGTTAGGGGCAATAAGGCAGGCAGGTGAGTAGCTAGGGGTGGTCAGGCAGGCAAGCAGAGTGATTAGGGGCAATCAGGCAGGCAGGCAGGCGAGTGGTTAGGATCCAGTGGTCCCAGATTGCAAGAGGGTACAGGCCAGGCTGAGGGGATGCCCCCATGCACAAATTTTGTGCACTGGACCTTTAGTAGTATAATAATAATCACTAACCCTTATTTTTAAAATTATAGCGATTGTCATATCAATATATAGTGACCAGGTTACAAATTACTACAAGCAACTCAAACCCAAAATATCACCATCAAATGAGGAAATACAGCCTTTTGTCCAAACCTCCACATTATCATGTCTGTAGTAACACTTGTGAGCCTGTTGTCTCTTTTGAATCATTTTTGGAAAGCCTTGCTATACTCACTTTGAGGTGTGTTGTTTGGAGTCAGGGTGCTCACATCTATAGGGTCCATTGAAGACGTAGCTAGATATCCTAGTTCAAAAACAAATTTTCCAAATTGTCATAGATATTCACATTCACATGTTTAACTTTGCCACTATGATGAACAAGGGTGGCATGCAGAGCATGGGATATTACAGCTGGAAAGAATCTTAGTGAATACAGGGTATTCACTTCATTTTATAAATGATGAAATTGAGTCCAAAAGGTACATGCTTATGGTTACATACTGAATATTCAACATCATTTCTTTGATACTAACCCAGTCTCCTAACGCCAAGTGCATTACATTCATACTTTCAAAATATATTGTTACAGTATCGACTGTCTGACAGACTCTATTCTACATGGAAATAAAAATAAAGACAAGGCTCTCACCCTCATGGAACTTATAGTGAATCTTCACAACTGTGTCTAATGTTTTAACATAGTAAATAGGGTTTTGTATTTACATTAATTCCTATCATTCAGAGTCACCTCTATCTTTTATAATCCATCATTTCCCATTCTCCTTCCCTCTCTCCTCCCCCTAAAATGAAAGACTAGTTCATATTCATTTGAATATATCTCTTCAGATGAAGCAAATTAGATTAAAGAAGAAAAATACCTAACCACACTCATTGAAAACATGTTTCTTGGAAAGACAAATTTTCAATATATTTTATTTATGTGTATTTTTCCTCTGTTCCAAAACATTATTTAGGTGGCTTACATAAATATGCAATGCAAGAAGATAAAAGAAGTGCAAAGGAAAAATAAGAGTAAGGAAAATATAGTTAGGAAAGGTATGTTGAGTCCCATTGAAACCTGAGTAGAGATACTATAAAAATGCACTTCTTGCCAAAACCGGTTTGGCTCAGTGGATAGAGCGTCGGCCTGCGGACTGAAAGGTCCCAGGTTCGATTCCGGTCAAGGGCATGTACCTTGGTTGCGGGCACATCCCCAGTGGGAGGTGTGCAGGAGGCAGCTAATCGATGTTTCTCTCTCATCGATGTTTCTAACTCTCTATCTCTCTCCCTTCCTCTCTGTAAAAAATCAATAAAAAATATATATTTTAAAAAAATGCACTTCTTGATGTCATATACTTTTGGTAGCTGTGTGCCCCCCATTTGGTCAGAACTTTCTAGTAACAATGCTAAGAAATAAAGTATATGTTATGCCATCAATGAACATCATAAGGTCAGTCAATTTTTAAGAAAAAACACAGCTATTCCCTTTATGGTAATTAAAAATAAATTTCTCCCAGCCTTGATACAAATAATATTGTATAATGTTTTCACTCTTCTCAAAAAGGATTCTTACATTCAGACAGCCAGCATGCTCATGACCCCTCTACCTTTAGAGGCAGTGAGTGGCACCCCAGTTTCCCACGTACCTCAATTCTGGGAAAGAGTATGCCTCAGATAGAAAGCATGGGTAATCAAATCTCTGAAGAATATATGTAGGATAAATAAATACATTGGCATTGTGGTTTATGCATCTATAAGGAGTTCAGCTATAAACATGATCAACCACAATTGTTTTGCAATGCAGCCTACCAATGAACATCAAAGATATGCTAAAGCCCAGATGTGTCAGAAACTGCCTCAGATCATGCTGTATGAGCAACTAAAATTGGCAGCCAGCCTGAGAATAGGCAGAAAAAAAATGTTTTAAAGACCAGATATGAATAACTTTATTTCTGCAACAAATACTTGTTGAGTGCATAGACTAGGGGATGAAATAAAGAGAAAGAGAAACTTGCCTCTGCCCTCATGGAACGCAGTTTAGTGAGAATAAAGGTCAGTGTGGGAGACCACTGGCTGATCACCGAAGCCAGCCTTCTTCCTTCTGGCACAGACACAGTGAGTAGAATTCCTGGTCTCCTGTGTGGTTAAGTGTGGTCTTGTATTGAGTCCGAGCCAATGGACTGTGAGTGATGATTGCCATTTCAAGGCCTGACCTACAAAGCCTCCCACACATGATCTTCCATGAGCTTTCCTCGGGTGCTATTCAGCTCTTACGGGGCAGGGAGACTTAGAAGGCATAACTTCAAGGAGACAGAGCTGCCGGCAGCCTGGGCTCTTGAATGACTGTGGGACAGAGCACCCAGCCACTGGCTTGACCCTTCATAGGCTATTAATGATAAACGGACTTATATTATATCAAGTATAAATGAACAAAAGAAAAGTTTGGAATTTGTTGTTACTGCAGTTTGCTTCCCTTCCCTTGCAAACAGTAAAATCTCAATTGCAGCTCAAGGTGATAGCGCTATCTGCCGTGGAGAAAATGCGGTGTACCATGGGATTCCGACGAGGGAAACATGACAACAGAAGTGGGAGCTCAGGAAGGCTTTCTGGAAGTAGTGACGTAGCAACTAGCCTGCAGGATGACAGATATTCGTTAAGAAAAGCTGGGAGTTAGGGGAAGAAAGAGGAGAAGCAAGGAGAAAAATATTCCATGCAATGTGAACAGAAAAGTAGGAGAGGACTGAAGCCAGTTGAATATGTTGAAGATACTTTGTGCACAGTAAAGAGGTGCAGATGGAGCCCTGGCAGGTGTGGCTCAGTTGGTTGAGGGTTGTCCAGTTTATGCGTCCTGTTGGGGCACATACCTAGGTTGTGGGTTTTGACCCCTGGTCAGAGTGAGTGCAAGAGGCAATCAATCAATATTTCTTTCTCACATCAATGTGATGTTTCTTTCTCTCTCTCTCTCTCTCTCTCTCTCTCTCTCTCTCTCTCTCTCTTCTCTGTAAATAAATAGTAATAATAATTATTTTTAAAAAGAGATAAGGATGGAAATTTAAGAAGAAGCTATATTCCAAAGGCCCATGGAAGAATTGACATTCAACTGGAATGTACAAGATGCTCTAACCTTAAGGGTAAGTCAGTGGTAGCCTGAACTATACAGTGAAGGCTCAACAGAGCATGGTTAATGATTGGACATAGGAAGTAAAGAAGAGAGAGAAGTCAAAATAAATCCAAGATTTCTGTCTTGGGCAGCTTTTTGGCTCACGCTAATATTAACTGAGGAAATAAACAGAGAAGAAGCAGTTTTGGAAGTGGCCAGAGACACGAAGACAAATTAAATTTTGGACACATTTATTTTGAGTGCATATGAGATATTAAATTCCAGCAGAAGTCTGACCATGTGAGTTTGAATCTTAACTGTGAAACTGAGATGCAAATAGATGTTTGTGAGACACCAGCCTGTAGACAATAATTGAAATTGCTGTGAGTACCAGGGAGGGAGGGTCCAGGGAGGAAAATGGGTCTAATAGGGAACAATGAAGACTCCTTTCGTATAAGGGACTGGCAGAAGAAAAGAAGATTGAAAAGGAGGGTCCAGAGAGGCAGGAAGAGAGTATGTGGTGAGAGAGAGCCAAGGTGACTGAGGTGTCCAGAAGCCGGGCAAGTCAGTACAATTTAGCAAGTATTTGTTAGCGAACACCATGTGCCAGTTGCTGGGTCAGTGATGTCCAACGCTGCCAAGAAGACAATTTCCATATAGCTCTCAACTGCTAGAAAGCCACTACATCAGGCCCATCAACCTGTATACAGAGTCCAGGAGACAGATTTGCAAAGCACTTGAAGGCTTGCAAAAGCATTGCAAATTATGTATTAAAAGCTTGAATTCCAGAGCAAGACTCTCTGGGTTGAGTCCTGGCTTAGTTCTAAGTTAGATGTATGATCTTGGGAAAGTCTATTAATTTTTTTTCTCTCCTCCTCCAATTCCTCACTTGTAAAATAATACTTCTCCAGTAGGGTGATCACAAAGGTTGAGAGTCATTCCTATCAAGTTCTTAGAAAAGTGCCTCACATGAGGTTAAGTGTTGAAATGTAATATTAGAAGCTACAAACTAGGGCATCCACAGTTTAGTTCAGGTGTTGAAAATACAAGCATGTCCTGCCAACAGGAGACTTGAATCTCCTGATGAGTTTTACAATTGCCCATTTCCCTTGTTCTTTCTAGGAGGTCCATTCGAGGTAACTAATCTCTCCTTCCCCAGGCTGACCCGAGTCAAGAACTACATCCCAAAAGACTGCATCATAACTGGGTAATTGGCAGGGGTGAAGAGAGTGGCAGCTTTCAGGGGCATTAGCTCTATGATGGGGAAGTAATTTCTACTGGCAGTTACCTACATCTCCTCTTTCAATTCACTGAGCCATCAGTGGTTCAGATTCTTGTGTAGTAATTGTAACTTCTAGCTTGCTGACTCCCCCACTCATCAAAGAGGAGGGCCCAGCAGAGTCTATATAAAGAGCAGCTATGCTTCTCCTTGGTTATAGTTTTATGAACCTATGGATCACAGAGTTAATTTAAATTTTATTTCGGTCACTGAGACGGCTTTATCTTTGTCCCTCTGTAGCAATTTCTTCAGCTACCTATTTTTAAAATTTTGTATTGTTATGTACTTTTTAAGTTATGTCATTTTGGGAGCAAAGGGAAGTAAAAAAATGCATAGAAGAAAGCAATGACTAGCCATAAATAATCATTAGATACTTATTAAGATATGATGTGCTCCTCCTAATTAATAGAGGAAGAAAGAATGAAAAGGAGAAGGGAAAGGGGAGGGGACAAATAAGACTCTATTCATGTTCTGAACAATTTTCAGAAGGATAATGAAAATGATCTTTACTCTGGGACCTCATTCCTTATGTGAGGCTTTCACTGAGAGTCTACAGTCACTTATCTCCCCTCCCATGGGCCAGCATCATTCATTCATTCTTCCTCCCTCTCCTCCTTCCACTCTCTTACCCTGAGAACTGACCTCCATAGAATTCACTGACTTAGTAAGTGAAAACAAAAAGAAATTGTTTTAACAGGGGTGATGCAGTACCAATCCTATATAATAAAAGGTTAATATGCAAATTGACTGAACTGTGGAATGACCAGTCGCTATGACGTGCACTGACCACCAGGGGGCAGACACTCAATGCAGGAGCTGCTCTCTGGTGGTCAGTGCGCTCCCACAGGGGGACCACCACTCAGCCAGAAGCCCAGAAGCTAGGCTCACAGCTGGTGAGTGCAGCAGTGGTGGCAGGAGCCTCTCC